CTGAAACACACTGGAGACGTGTAATGGACAGAGAGCAATCTGAAACACACTGGAGACATGTAATGGACACAGAGCAATCTGAAACACACTGGAGACGTGTAATGGACACAGAGAAATCTGAAACACACTGGAGACGTGTAATGGACACACAGCAATCTGAAACACACTGGAGACTTGTAATGGACACACAGCAATCTGAAACACACTGGAGACATGTAATGGACACAGAGCAATCTGAAACGACAGCATCGAGAAGAGCCAGTCACAAAGAACTGAAGCTGAATTTATACAAAGCATTAGAAAGTACACAAAGATTCTTGCATCTCCATTTAACACCCCGATACGTTAGCTGGAAGAAGTGAAGAGGAAGAAGTAGAAAGAGAAGAAACAATCTAACACACAGCTTTTTGCCACAGAAGCAGAGATAAGGAGAAAGCAATTAGAAACTCAATTAGCAGTTTTAAAAATTTGACTTTCTTAAAAATCGAATTCAGAGCAACGAAATAAAAAAAAAAAAAAAATCAAGATATCCAAATACATAGTAAAGTGGAAAAATAACGAGATAATAAAAGAATAATAGTAATTAAAGAGAGGAAATAAAAACTAGAACTATGTGGAATAGTTTGGCAATCTTCAAAGATATCACACTTTTACGAAAAGTAAGAAAACGCGGTAGGGGGTGTTGGAACACGAAGGCCTAGATTAAAAGGCCCCATGTCCCACACTCAGGGGTACGTTGCCAAGCACCTATTAAAATCGATAACAAAGATACTGAAAATGTCACAGATCTGGAAGGTTTCCGCTCAGTACTGAACAACAGTGGTGACTGTACAATAAAGCCACCCCCCCCCCCCTCACACACACACAAACTTGCTTTAGCAATGCAGACGTTTCATAGCGTCAACAACAACAACAACAACAAAACTTTGATACAGCCCCTGAAGCAGGTTAAGATTAACATTCTGAGATGATGCATCTTTCCCGTGGTAACTTATGGTTGTGAGTCACATACTCTTACTCAATCTTCGAAGCAAAAAAATCGGAGCTTTTAAGCCTTAATGTTTCAGAAATGTTCTTAGAATACGGCCGACCAAAAACAGTAACATCATAGGGCTGGAGAACTGGTCAGAGAAAGAGTTACTTTCGGCGTGTCTTGACGTCAGCGATGTTCTGTGTAAGATCTGCTGATTGATGATGATGAAATTGCCCCGTCACCTTTACCCCCTTTATGTATATATATATATATATTCTCAGTCTAGGTTTTGTTTGTACTTATATTATTTTAATATATTATTATATTAAGGTACTATTCAGTATATCATCATCACCATTATCATCATCATCCTCACCGTTCTACTTCTTCACATTTGCAGGCTCTCAAATCAGGCGGAAAATTTCAGTTGTTCATTCGCTTCTGGATTTTAGTCTTGTTCCAGAACTTGAGTTTTACGTGCACATCCGTTTTACAAACGAGGCTTTCTTGCAAGCAGGCTGTTGGCACCTTGCCTTTCAAGCAGACGCACTTCGACTTCGAAGAAACAACAGCAATTAGTTGACTTTTGCGACATGCTTGACAGGGAGAGAGCGGGTTCATTCATCTCCACCTCCTTTAAATTGTGGCACCGGAACCCAGACAGGGATACTTACATAATTTATTATATACTAGCTGCACCCGGCCACGCGTTGCTGTGGCATAGTTTTGCTAAATGGAAAAGAAAGAAAATAGAAATCGCACGTGTCTAATATGGTTACTGTCGCAATCATTGTCTGCGCACATACAGAGATAGTCTTCAATGCCCCACCCCTCCTCCTTCCCACATCCACCTACTACTCCTTCCTTCATCGAAGGCTTTTGGAAAAGAAAGACAATAGAAATCGCACGTGTCTCATATAGTTAATGTCGCAATCATTTTCTGCACAGATATAGAGATAGTCTGGTTTTTCACTTTAGAACACGCAACATATAATTGTGTATTTATATTAGTGGTCGTTTAAATGGTATTATTAGCACAGTAAAGAAAAAAATGGTTATTTGGTTATGACATGCTAAAGCTGTATTTGTAGATAACCAGTAAGTAGTTAAAAAATGAGTATAGTGGAGGTAGCGTTAGTAAAATATAAAAAAAAAATTAAGAAATGAACACTTTAAAATCATTCGTTAAGCTCCTTAAGGTAACAATTTCTGTCATCACCCCCTCCCCCTCCCCTTCCCCATCCACGAATACTGCTCTCTCCTTCATCGAAGGATTTGAAAGTCATCACCTGACACTATTTTTGTAACTGACTTTGATACCTCTGTCCATCCGGACTAAAATAGGGAGCAGGAATTGTAATGAGTAGTAAATGCGGCTAGTGTAATATTTACCACACTATCCTTCAAGTACCAGTACAACTACTACCACCACAATAACTAAAATAATGTCACTGCTATCTGTTTTACCATCGGAGTAGACAGGGAGTCGTGAGCCAGAGGATTTGGCGCCGCAAGGTTAATGCTGTCGCTACGGACTGGTCAGGTTACGATGTGTAATTTCGCTCCCCTACAGAAAAATGCCATAACCTTACCGGCGGTCTCCGACATGACAGCACTACGGTATTAACCGCGCAACCACAATAACTACTACTTCTGTTACTTTGAGTTGGTAAGGCAGTTACTGTGACTTAAAGCTCTCTCAGTTAACAGTTTATGCTACCGCTCCCCGTCTCCCAATTCACCGACTACTCTTTCCTTCATCGAAGTAGTTTGGGGAAAAAAAGTGAAATGCAACGAAAACAGGAAAAATACACCATAATTACGAAATGAACTATATGATAACCAACACAGCCTTATTCCAATGCAATGTCGGAATAAATAATTAAATGGAAATGAAAATATATGGGAATCTATGAAAATTCAGCGTAACCATGCAATCGGAAAGTTTGAAATGAAATCATAAGTATGCGAAATGGTCAAATTTAATTATCAACTGGTTTACCCACATACCTGTGCTTCTTTTTTCTTTAGTATTTGTGGCCATGGCTAGTTCTGTCGCCACAACAGTGCAGGTCTGGGTTTTATTTTGTCCCCTGGGTAAAAAAAAAAAAACAGACGCACGGGAACCCAGTGTACTAAGCATTCGGCCAGCCAACCACTTCGTCTAATCTACGAAAAGAGAACAAAACTATGCAAGATGTGTGTTCCGATTTTAACACAACTCAAAACCGGAGGCAATTGTTTTCTCATAAACAGATATCCCAGATATAAACTTCAAGTATTATTGAAACGGCACAATAATATAAATCGTACATGTCTAACACAGTAATTGTCGCAATCACTTCGGCGCAGACATAATCTTTGATCGCCCTCCCTCCCTCCCCCCCCCCCTTTTTCTCAAATCCAACGACTACTCTCTAACTCCTCAATGGTTGTTTCAAAAGAAAGAAAATAAAAACCGTGTCTATTAGGTTAACGTCGCAATCAGCGATATAGAGATAGTTTGGTTTGTTGCATCACGCGGGCGAATGGTTGATAAATACGCATACGCATTTACGAACGTGGCTTTCATTGGCTGTCACTAAAATGGAAATATTAGTTTCGAAAATTTTCCTAACAAATGTAGTCAACTGTCTCTAACAATGATAGGTATTATTTCAAACCATGACGGGTAAAAATCCTGTATCAAAACAAACATATCATGAAAATTTCAGCTAAATCGGTTCAGTAGTTTCCGAGTCTATAGATTAAAAAAAAAAATACACAAACATTGATTCATATATATTTTTATTGTCGGTGTCTGGGGCTTAGGCGTTGCGAACGCGCTTCGTAATTCCGAGATACCCTGTTTAATTTCAGCAGCGAGCAATTTGACAGCAGACTACCTTGCATCGGTTTCGACAGGGTATCGATAGACGACCTTTTAGTCAATGGCAAACTAATGAACGTGAAATTGTCTAGTAGTTCCTTCTCCGTGTATTTTTTGATTTGGTTTGCTTTTCAATTCTGAAGAATTTCGTAGGTGAAAGTAGGTACGTCGACCATCCGGACTCCTTTCGGCTTTCACCGCACCATGACATTATTCTTCTATTATAGTCCGTTCAGAGTTTCATAAATACATTTTCTTGAAAACTGCCTATTAGGTCGCAATGATTTTTTTGCATCAAGCTTTTGAATATCCATGACGCAAAAAAAGTGCGATTCTTCAGTCCATAGATGCTCAGGATTTTACTAATAAGCCAATTTTTTTTTTTAACAACTGTAAATAACTAGAATGAAATGTTAGATTTTACAGTAAATGTGTTAATTTCAAGTTCGAGTTTAATTTTGTGTTTAGATGCGTATATTCTTAATAAAAGGTACTCTATGCAGACCAAGCGCCAGTTTGTTTCTCTGGGTCATGAATATCACAATTTAAATAACCCATTTTAGATTCCAACAGAAATGCTGGTACAGTGAAACGGTAATCTTCTGCATAGTTAAAAATTTGCACCTCAAACTCATTCTGAAATGAATGTCTATGTCAGTTTTGATAAGCCAGCTATGTGACACAATAACTTTACACTAATTTGTGGATGCGCCTTCAACTTAATTACCTTGAAAGACGTCTTATTTTGGGTTCCGTTCACCAATAGTATGACTTTGCACAAGAAAATCGGGCGTACATAATTTTTATTTGACTCCATGTTAAACCCGTTATAGTGTGTTTATTAACATTACTTTCTGAAACTAATGAAAGTAAACATTCCACAACACTATCGAGACAGTTCCATGATACAAATTTATATCGTTAAAAAAAAAAAAAAAAAAAAAAAGTAAAAAAAAAAAAAAAAATACAAAAAAAAAAAAAAAAATTACCAAAAAAAAAAATTTAAAAATATCACAAATTATGCTCTTTATCAGTCAGAAAAAAATATGTCCCGAACGTAATGGATGTTTGCACTAAGTTTACCAAATTTAATTCAAATCAGTTCGTTAGTTTCCAAAATATTAAAATCTATTCATGTTGTCGTGAAGTGATCAGGCC